GCAGAAGTCACTTGGCCATTGGCTGTTTAACTTCAAGTTAATGTCTTCCATTAGAAAATCAATTAAGCATAAACGGTGATGTGCTGTCAGGAAATGAAATATATTAAATATGGAGATGAATCTACTGTGACATTTTGTCTTTATCATGACACAGCTCTTGGATTCCTCACCAGTTGGTGGCTGACAGTGAGTGGCAGGGTTTAACTCTGCAGTTGACACCGACAGGTCCTTTGCAGGAAAACATTTTTTTTATTATTATTAGTATTTAAAAACTCCTGGCAACAGCATAAAATAGACACATTCTTTCCTCGTCTCCGGGTGGTGGTTGGGGTCAGGAAATTACATTTTACGAGCGGCAACCAGTCATAGACAATGGATCAGCATTGTGGCATTGTGTAGAATGACTATTGATGTTATGAACCGTAACGGAGTAATGCAGCATGAGCTATAAAAAAAAAAACTGTAATTGTACCCAATCGACTCATCTCTACTGCACAAACCTTCAACCAAAGCTGTGTATCCTCGATTCCTTGAACTATAGCCACCACACATAGGGTCAAATGGAAACATCCATAGAAATAGAATGAATATAATATTTCTATGGATACATCATTATTATCCACTTGTGTTTTTTTCCTTTATTTTTCCTTTATTTCAATCAGGTTAGATAAGTCATTGAGAACACATTCTCTTTTACAATAAAGACCTGACCAACAAGGAGCATTGATTCTGGCTGTAAAGCAGACAAGTGAATAGCGACTAGTGATTGATTGTAACTTGTCTTGACAAAATAAGTTGTGACTGTGCCCTCCCCCCACCTCAGGGCAGCAGGCAGGCAGGACAATAGGTGGTCCTCTCAGTGTGGAGCCTGGTGCTTGGTGCCAGGGCTGGGCAGCCTGACTAGGATAATGGAGGAGGCCAATAATGGCCTGGGTAATGGGGATCAATAATGCAGCACTTAGTGATGGCTCGGGGAGCCACGCAGCGCTGCTAACCTCTGTGCCGCCACCTCCACTGCCTGATTCATGCAAGATCGTTCATCTCTAAGCTCGCCTGGTAAAGGCCTAGCATGAAGATAGGCGATAGGTATCAGTAGGGCTTGGCGTTATACCGTATTTAACTATATAACGGTATTGATGCACGGAACGGTTTGGGTTTTTACTCTACCTTCTATAAAACAGTACTTCAATGTTTGGTTTGTTAAATGTGATACACCACTTTTTATAGTTTACTCCGATAGTTAAATTGTCTCCTTCTCGCACACCAAACCCGCCCCGTCACTCAAGGAGCGCAGTTGTTGTTGTTGCTCGACCACGAGATCATTTGCCGACCGTTCACGCTTCAGTCTGCATGGTCAATGCAGCAGATGCAACAATATGTTGATGACAACAATGCTGCTTTCCACTTTGCTTCTTAATATAAATCCACAAGCGTTCTATAATTACACTATTAGTTTGTGTATAGAACTGCCTGCAAAGAGCTAATATATTTTCTTAGTAAGTTGTGGCTAAAATAAATCATGTTAGCTGCTAATGCTAATCGCAAGTAAGCTGGCTATAATAAAATGTACTGAGTCAGAGAAAACATAGCTAGCTAATACAGCCTGATACCAGTGCTGGTGTAGGCCTAAATCAGCATGCTGTTTCTGCAACAGTATCTTCTAAATCAGAGAGGACAGGCGAAGCATGAATAGGTTAGCTACATGAAGTAAGATAAAACATAGCCAAAGATAGTCAATCTTTGTAGCCAAAGATTATAGGGTCCCATTCCCCTGGGAAACACTGACCAACACTTTGGTTCCTACCCTGTCACAATAACGCCTCCATAGAGATCCTATTAGTATTCTAATTCCTAATTCCATGAACACCTCCTTGGCTTTTTCATTCGTTGCCATGTCAAACACCGTATTCAAAAGGGTCCAACTTTACATTCTAACTATAGAATTAAAATTATCATCATATTTCCATGATTCCAGCAGTTAACCCAAGTGTTTTGATCTAAATCTCAAGTCAAATTGCAATTGCAATATTTGGTTAAAAATAAGGCCTAGACTTTTTGCTCATATCGTGCAGTCCTAACATGACAGTGTGGAAATGATATTTTAGTGGAATTGTGATTGAACAGTATAAAACAATCAGAATGAAGAAAGCCCCTCTGAAAACACTTAGAATGTATGTGTTGCCACCCTAGGGTCATACACAACTCAAAGCAAATTTAGAACTTGTATTATTCAAAAACATAAAATACCGTCAAATACTGTCATACCGTCAGAAATTTGAAGAATATTGTGATATACAGTTGAAGTCGGAAGTTTACATACACCTTAGCCAAATACATTTAAACTCAGTTTTCACAATTCCTGACATTTAATCCTAGTAGAAATTAGTTAGGATCACCACTTTATTTCTCTACTACTATTTTTATTTCAGCTTTTATTTCTTTCATCACATTCCCAGTGGGTCAGAAGTTTACATACACTCAATTAGTATTTGGTAGCATTGCCTTTAAATTGTTTAACTTGGGTGAAACGTTTCGGGTAGCCTTCCACAAGCTTCCCACAATAAGTTGGGTGAATTTTGGCCCATTCCTCCTGACAGAGCTGGTGTAACTGAGTCAGGTTTGTAGGCCTCCTTGCTCACACACGCTTTTCAGTTCTGCCCACACATTTTCTATAGGATTGAGGTCAGGGCTTTGTGACGGCCACTCCAATACCTTGACTTTGTTGTCCTTAAGCCATTTTGCCACAACTTTGGAAGTATGCTTGGAGTCATTGTCCATTTAGATGACCCATTAGCGACCAAGATTTAACTTCCTGACTGATGTCTTGAGATGTTGCTTCAATATATCCACATAATTTTCATTCCTCATGATGCCATCTATTTTGTGAAGTGCACCAGTCCCTACCGTAGCGAAGCACCCCCACAGCATGATGCTGCCACCCCCGTGCTTCACGGTTGGGATGGTGTTCTTCGGCTTGCAAGCGTTCCCCTTTTTCATAACATAACGATGGTCATTATGGCCAAACAGTTCTATTTTTGTTTCATCAGACCAGAGGACATTTCTCCAAAAAGTATGATCTTTGTCCCCATGTGCAATTGCAAACCGTCGTCTGGCTTTTTTATGGTGGTTTTGGAGCAGTGGCTTCTTCCTTGCTGAGCGGCCTTTCAGGTTATGTCGATATAGGACTCGTTTTACTGTGGATATAGATACTTTTGTACCTGTTTCCTCCAGCATCTTCACAAGGTCCATTGCTGTTGTTCTGGGATTGATTTGCACTTTTCGCCCCAAAGTACGATCATCTCTAGGAGACAGAACGCATCTCCTTCCTGAGCGGTATGACTGCTGCGTGGTCCCATGGTGTTTATACTTGCGTACTATTGTTTGTACAGATGAACGTGGTTCCTTCACGCGTTTGGAAATTGCTCCCAAGGATGAACCAGACTTGGCTGATTTCTTTTGATTTTCCCATGATGTCAAGCGAAAAGAGGCACTGAGTTTGAAGGTAGGCCTTGAAATACATCCACAGGTACATCTGCAATTGACTCAAATGATGTCAATTAGCCTATCAGAAGCTTCTAAAGCCATGACATAATTTCTGGAATTTTCCAAGCTGTTTAAAGGCACAGTCAACTTAGTGTATGTAAACTTCTGACCCACTGGAATTGTGATACAGTGAATTATAAGTGAAATAATCTGTCTGTAAACAATTGTTGGAAGAATTACTTGTGTCATGCACAAAGTAGATGTCCTAACCGACTTGCCAAAACTATAGTTTATTAACAAGACATTTGTGGAGTGGTTGAAAAACGAGTTTTAATGACTCCAACCTCAGTGTATGTAAACTTCCGACTTCAACTGTATATTGGCCATATCGCCCAGCCCTAAGCATCAGCTATGAGTTCATTAGACATAAGTAGTGACCAGTGGAGGCTGCTGAGGGGAGGACGGCTCATAATAATGGCTGGAACGGAGCTAATGGAATGGCATCAAACACTTGGAAACCATGTGATTGATGTATTTGATACCATTCCAACAATTCCGCTCCAGCCATTACCACAAGCCCGTCCTCCCCAATTAAGGTGCCACCAACCTTCTGTGGTAGAAACACTATCTGGCACCACCTTGTTTTACTCAGGCTCTTAAAAATAGCATATAGGACATTTCCCTGAGAAAAAAAGAGCAGCAATCTCACAGCTCAGTGAAAATGAGTTTTGTGAAAGAAGCCAGTGAATACATAATCAAGGTGCTTCCCAAATGTTACCCTATTCCCTATATATTGTACTACTAGGCCCATACGGCACTGGTCAAAAGTAGTGCACGTTGTAGGGAACAGGATGCCATTTGGGATGCAGTCTTACACTTCTATACCAAATATTGTCAGCAAATTGATCTGTGGCAATTATCGCCCACGCAAATAATTAGCGGTAAATTGATAATTAGCTTCAGTTTAGAAGAGAATCATCAAGCTCAATGATCCTTAGCTGAGTGTCTTCAGTAGGAGGTGCATACAATGGAACTTGTGAGATAGAAAAACAAAAATGTAGATTGCGGATGCAGTTAAGCATTCACAAAGGCATAGGCCTGCCAAAATGTTAAACAGGCTTGTGGTCAAGGGAGGCTACTCTGAAACTGCTGTGATAGAGATATATTGAAAATGGTTTTGCAAACATGTTTAGCAATTTCAGAATGGCTGCTCAGTCCTCAGACCGTAGCACTTGCGATAGATAGGTCTCAGACAGTGTCCTGGATCTTTATGATCAGGCTTTACTGAGCCAGGCAGCCAGCGAGCTGAGAGGCAGGCGGTCTGAGATCCTCTCCTGAAGAATTAATCAGTCTGACAGACTAGTCTCTCACTCACTCACTCACTCACTCACTCACTCACTCACTCACTCACTCACTCACTCACTCACTCACTCACTCGGCAGTGACAATGTGGACTAGAGAGGGGACCAGAGCGAGGTCAACACAGGGGATAGAGTGGCTGCTAATGGGCCTGGTGGTTATGGCGTAGTGACTACTACCTGGTATGTCTGGCACCTCATCAGGGGTGTAGGGGAATTACAGGGGCAACATGTTCTTGGCTGAACGGGCATGGTGGGCAGGGCACTACTCACGTTGAATTTGATGATGTCATAGATCAGGTAGCGCGGGACGGGCTGGCCGTTCACCTTGTCGATAATCATCTCCTGTGGAAACAAGAGACGGGGGGTGATGAGGACAGACGGAAACCGAGAGAGAGAGACGCAGAGACAGAGAGAGACCCAGAGACGGAGCGAGAGAGAGACTAGGGGGAGGGAGGGGGGGGCAACACATTCTTCTAAGATAAATAATTCTACATTTGTGGTCCAATCAGACAGCGAGAGGAGCTGAGCAAGCTGGGGGGGGGGGGGGTTAAACATAGCTCTCTCAAAGGGGCTGGCTGTGTCTCCTGAGGGGTATGTACGGCAGACTGCGGCACACACCAGAGAAGAGTACCAGGGACAGAAACGGCAAACGTTAGCAGAAATAGATTTACACATTCATTATTCAACATTGTGGAGTTGAGAATCAGGTACTTCAGAGCTGGTGAGAAGCCCAACTGACATGACTGGGTTTCACAGCCACATTATGCAACTAGGTGGAGAGGGAGAGAAAGAGAAACAAAGAGAAAGAGGGAACAAGAAAGAGATGGAGAGAACGAGAGAGAGAAACAGAGAGAAAGAGAGAAACACAGAAAGAGAGAGAGAGAGAGAGAGAGAGAGAGAGAGAGAGAGAGAGAGAGAGAGAGAGAGAGAGAGAGAGAGAGAGAGAGAGAGAGAGAGAAACAGAGAGAGAGAGCGAGAGCAGAGGAGAGAGTTTGTATGAATATATGAATAATATCCCAATGGGTATCATATCGTAGGCTAAGCGTCATACAGTACAGTACACATCACCATTCTGACATGACCTGTAGGAACATCAAGGGAACTACTCCTTTAGAGCTATTATGGCACGAATTCACTCCAGCTTATGTCCTTTGAAGGGATTTTACTCATAAAATATTTACTCCAATGTGAGTGTACAAATGCAGACAAATACAAGACAACACTGAGTGAATTGCTCTGGGGGATGAATATAGTTGTATATCTGTGAGTTGACCTCTGTACATGCAGCAGTGCAGCACAGAGGCAGTAACAGTTATGTATTATGTGTGTGGTGATATATCAATAAGCTAGTCACTAGCAGCAGAGCCACTGCCACAGAAGAGCTGAAGATTGAATGTATGCAGCAACAGTTCCACTGGCAATATATCTGCAAACATGAAAGACATTTTAGGTCTCTGGGTAGTTCACTGAAAACACTGACATGAATTCCAAACACACAAGGTGAAAAATCTGTCGATGTGCCCTTGAGCAAGTCACTTAACCCTAATTGCTCCTGTAAGTCGCTCTGGATAAGAGCGTCGGCTAAAAATGACTACATTTTTTTTTTAAATGTAAAAGCCTTGTGGCAGAGGCAGATTCTGTGTAAGTAGTAAGATTCTATGAAGAATCTATGGATGAAACTCTTGAGCATAGCCACAAGGTTCTATCTGGACAGGGACTCTGTTAGCAGTCGTCATCAAAAACAACACAACAACAAAAAGGATACCAAGAAGCCTTGACGACAGGCTAGACGGACTGTCACATCTGCAGTGTAGAGCTGCTTCAAAAGCCTGCTAATGTGTTCCTTGCACAAAAGGCCCGAACAAAGAGACAACCCACCATCTCAATCAGTCACTGAATTACCGAGAGGAAAGATAAAGATGCATCTCCTTGGAATAATATTGCTCAGAGCATAAAAGGCACGTCCATCTTAGAGAAAAGTGATGATGGCTAAGCAAACTCACCTCTCTAACAAGCCTCCCACATAATTGGGCTCCTGTACAAAAGACCAGGCTGTGTACACCGGCATTACGCATTATGGCAGCCAGCCTCTTCTCTCACCGGTTCCGATTAGGGAGGGTGATAATGACTGGTGTCTTGTGCACCTGCTGCTTGGGGAGCGCTGGCACCTGGGTGAGGTGACCTAGGCTGAGTCCCAAAGGGCACCCTATTCCCTATATAGTGCACTACTTTTGACCAGGTCCCATAGGGAATATCATTATATTGGGAATAGGGTGCCATTTGGGATGCACACCTTCTCTAGTACAAAAACTCCAGTAGCCTGGATTGGCCTGTTATTACAGGGTGAAGACATGACAGCCAATAACAAACAGCCTCCTGGGAGGAAGGTATCTATCCAGTACATTACAATACAGGGCAGGATAAAGGCGGATGAATCTATGGTTTTTCTGGTATGATTTATGAACAGTGTTTCCTCTCCTGTCTTGTAAAACAGGCTGTGGTGGAGGACTGGGTGAAAGGATCACTGCTCTCACTGTTCTCCTCTAGGCCTAGGTGTTGAGAGGAAGCACAGGGTTCTCCTGGTGTGGATGGAGGCTGACAACAGCTACTTTATGCTGTCAGTCATGTGTGGGTGGAGCAGCAGGGCGATGTGGGTAGGGCTACGGGGACAGGCAGGGGACATAAAGGGCGGAAAGAATAAAGACAGGAATGTTGTAGGTCTTTCAATGAGACCAGAGAAGTCACAGTGTTGACATAAAAAGGAGGCTTTTCAAAAACGAGAGAGAGCGAGAGGGAGAGAGAGCAACAAAGAGAAAGAAAGAGAGCGAGAGCGAGCGCAAGAAACAGAGAGAAAGAGATAGAGAAACAAAGCGAAAGAGAGAGTAGAGAGAGTTTGTATGAATATATGACTAATATCTCAATGGGTATTATATCGTAGGCTAAGCGTCACATAGTACAGTACGAATCACCATTCTGAGACATTAACTGTAGGAGAGAAAGAGAGAGCGAGAGAGACACAGAGAGAGAGAGAGAGACAGAGAGATAGTGTGTGAAGGACTTACCCCGTCAAGTAGTGTGTTGGCTAATTAGAGAGAGCGAGAGCGAGAGCGAGAAAGAGGAGAGAGAGAGAGAGACTCGGAGAGAGAGAGAGACACAGAGAGAGAGAGAGACACGGAGAGAGAGAGAGAGACACTGAGAGAGTGAATTACTTACCCCGTCAAGTAGTGTGTTGGATAAGTGAACGCGGAGGTCTTTCCGAAAGGGGAATTCTAGGTTGGCTATGTGGAACACCGAGTTGTCTCTGTCAATCATGTGCACCTCATTCTTCCCATTTATCAGCATCATATACCTGTGGAAAATAGAGCAAAGAAACCATCTTTAACAAGTTCAAGTTTACTTAACCTCTTTAAGTTAACAACCATTTACTAGTAAGTAGCAAACATTCAACGAACAAAGCAGAGGCAGTATACATATTGAATGCTGTAGATAGATGGCAAAGTTTCTAAAGCCAGAAAGCCATTTAATATCAGACACAAACAACTGCATTAGGATTACTCACAGAGCGGCAGATTCAACTGCATTTCTTACAGTTCAAATCAAAACTTTGTTGGGTTAAAGCTGCAATATGCAACTTTTTGGCAAACCCGATCAAAATCACATACAGAGTACGTGATGAGTCAAAAAAGTTAGCGCAAAAAAGGGTCAATGCAGACAGTCCAGGTAGCTATTGGTAAAAAATTAAAAGCTGCAATATGCGCAACCCCACCAAATTCACATATAAATGTCATTCTCATTGAAAGCAAGTCTAAGAAGCGATAGATCTGTTCTATGTGCGTATTTCCATGCTTCCAGTTCTTACGTTTCATTTTTTGCATCTTTTACTTTAGGTTTTGTACACCAGCTTCAAACAGCTGAAAATACAATATTTTTGGTTATGGAAAATATATTTCACAGCAGTTTAGATGGTACAATGACTCTCTACACAATGACTGCTTGTTTCGTAACATAAAATGAAATTAAGCAAACTATTAGAATTTTTGCAACCAGGAAATGACGGAGCGATTTCTGCACATTGCACCTTTAATAGAGTATCTGGGGAACAACACAGAATCAAACTCCAAACTTCAAAACGCGGAACTCACCTCAACCCCTACTTACAGAAACAACCGCATTATATTATAGCGCACGTAGACACTTTCAAACCAATTCTCTCCTCTATTGGCAAAACTGAATGACAAAAAAAGTCACAGGCTCTGATATACTGTGAGGTTATGTCCTAAAGCAGCTCTGCTTCAATGAAAATATGCCAGCCTCCAGTTAGAGGTGGCTCTATCTTCAAATAGCACAATGTGCTGCGAGTTGTTTCACTGATTGAGGAAGTTTTAGCACTAATCCTGAATGAGTTCCTCGGGCATTTGCAGGTGAGATACAAGACTTAGTTTGCATTAAGAAATACACTGCACATTCCTTGGCCTCAGGACGACCACAGAATACAATTTTATCGTGATACTGTGGATGCATTATAACGTTTTATTCTGAGAAACTTTGAGAAAGCTCTTTGACTGCATCTACAGTAAAGGACTAGAGGCAAGGCCATACACCCCTGATCCAGCCATTCAGGAGGAGTGGTGGCCTTATCTCTCTCTCTGTTTTGCCTTGCTGTATTCCTTGGCAAATTCTTGAACAGTACTTTTTCAATGCCACAATAGGACACACACACACACAGCTGTCCTCATTCAAATCACCCCAGTGCCACACCAGATATAATCATACTGCTTTGAACATTGTTTAAGTCTAACTGGGTTTTTTAAGAAGCTGCTGAGCAAATATGATATGACCCAGGCTCTCTGCTCTAGTCTACATATTTACATGGGTGATGGTAGAGGAGTGGAGAGAGATTTGTGGAGCGTGGTGGTGAAGAGAGAGACCCCAACTGTTATGTAGCTAGCAGCCTGTCACACCTCCTCCGTCTGATTACTGCCTGATCCCTCCATCACCCCAACCAGGGATGAAGTGGAGGATACAGAGCTTTCCTTGAATGACATACCTGCGAACATCAGCATATACTCTCAGTCAAACTCTTACTTTTAAAAACAGAACATCAGAATGACTGATCTGATTCCAGGGGTATGTAGGTTCCACAGGAGAGCTGAGGGGATGTGATCAAACACACACACACACTCAATCACACACATTTCCTCTTACAATCAACACACAAAAAACCTGCTCGGCAATGATTACATGGCAGAGTTGATGAATCCAATTACATGCTTCCAGGAGGCCGACCGCCACTCTCTCTCCATCTGCAAATGCCAAGTATTGTGAAGCAAGATGTTTTAAATGAGCAACTCCACTTCATTTCCTGTTTTACTCCTAAAGGTTAAGTATCCTAATCAACGCATCCTAAAACAGTGAGCGGATGAGCTCGCCCCCCATTACAACACTTTATCACATTAGTGCAATCATGCAGTGCTAATGGCACCCGGCTTATTCTGCAAACTACTAAATTAACACAAAGGCGGGCCCGACCTATTAGATGGCGATGTGAACCCATTTTAAAATGCAGTGACTGAGACGTACAGCTCTCCAGGGGAGAGGACACTGGTGGTGGTGACAGAGATAGACAGCAGATCACTGTATAGTTCCCCACTGCAAACTTTTCTGCATTTTCCACAGCTTGAGCAACAGTAAGAAGAACTGCAGGTGGGAAAAAAACGCAATCATATATGGATTAGACCTAATTAATTTGCCATCTATCCCAGCTTGTTCAGAGAGCTCTGGAAGGCATCCAGGTCCCTGAGAAGAGTGGGGTACAATGGCTGTGTCCCAAATGGCACCCCATTCTCTATAGAGTGCACTACTTTTGACTAGAGGCTTGGGCTCTGTTCAAAAGTAGTGCACTAGATAGAGAAAAGGGTGCATTTGGGACTCCGACAATATGAGGCAGGCCCTGAGAGAGAACTCCTGTTAAAGAACCTCTCAGCCAATGAGAGACGAGCATGCACTCTCATAGAAAATCAAGACCCCTAAAAGAGCCTTGTTTCGGTCTTTCACTCTTGACCTGTTAAAGGATTACGAGTAGGGCCAACAGCGTGCTGTCATAGTAGGAGGCATCTAATCTTCCAGCTACAATCACAGTGCAGGTCTGCAAGTAGGGCCATAAAAACTCTTGGACATAATTATTATAAGACAAAAAAAGTGTGACAGTGCAGGTCTGCTGGAGCTGTACTAGTCCATAGAGAGGATGTTCGTTGAGTTCCTGATCCCTGTGACAGAGGAGTGGTGAGCCACATCTGCCTTGCAGTCCTCTGCTCCTATAGGCTCTGTTCTGGAAGAATCACTGCCTGAATCTGCTCTGCTGACAAAGCCTCAGGAGTCTGGACAACAGCCTCTCTGGTGTCCCATAAGATCCACTCGCGCAAACAGTCAGACATAGACGCTTTAAAGACGTTTAGTGTATTGTTTAGTGTTGTGGCTTTGCTGGCATGCATGTAAAACATTTTTTGAGTTTGCCGCACCAAGTGTGGTCCTCTGTAGCTCAACTGGTAGAGCACGGCGCTTGAAACGCCAAGGTAGTGGGTTCAAGCCCCGGGACCACCCATACACAAAAATGTATGCATGCATGACTGTAAGTCGCTTTGGATAAAAGCGTCTGCTAAATGGCATATTATTATTATTATTATTATTATAAGATGTACATGCTAAAATCGCCACTGACATCAGGGCATAAACTGTATGCCTGCCACCTGCCAAATGCGGAGGTTAAAAATGTATATTTCACCAGCCACGTAAGCGTGTGGTCAATTTGCAGGACTCTACAGTGCGACTATTATTCACATTTGCAAATAAAAATAGTCAAAAAGTCAAGTACGTGCGAGTTGTGATTTATAGCAGACAAATGCTGCAGTAGCTGTTTTCAACGTTTCTGCCATTTTGTTTCATAGCTGTGTGATGGAAAATTTTATGTTTGTGCTTTTCTAATAACCAATTTCTGTGTTCATGCAAGTGACTGATTGAACGAATCCTCACTATCAGTATCTGCAATTTGGCAGTACGCCCAGATATTTCAGTGTCCAGGTCTCAGCTTAGAGAGAAGAAGCCTCGTGAGGTATTGGTCTGTCACATGCATGACCCAGTATTGGTTGGTTACATGAATGAAGCAAATGTTAATGATGAATTAATTATGAATGATGAATAAGCTAAATCATGCAACTATAACTTTTCTGTAAATAAGAGAACTAACGTGACTGCCCCGAGTAGAGCTCCTGATCGACATGTGTACTTGGTGCATTGAGTTGGTTGGAACCTCTCCAGCGCGCTGATAATAAACAATTATTCATTTAAGATTGACTTCAAGTGTCCCTGTGTAGAATTTCCACGACAGCTGCTAATCGCACAAAGAAATATGAATCCTATATCCCACCTCACACAGCAGCACTGCCTGGCTGGGGAGCTGTGCGCACTGTGAGATAAGTGCTTATAGATTAATTTTTGGAAGCGGTGCACACAGGCATAGAAGTTTGTCTAATTTATTCAAAAGTCAACAAAGTGAGACATTGTCCTCTTGTTTTTTGGCTATTTACATTGTTTTGTTCACAAGCTTGGTTGTTTTTCAATGTTAGTTTGAGTCTGTTGCGTCAACTGCTAGCGAAGAGACGGCGTCTACTGGGTTTCCACTAGATAGCACAGCCAAAAAGTCTAAATTGGCTATATCGTAAAAGATCATGAATTCAAAAAGGTGCTTTTTAGTCTTAAGGTTAGGGGTAGGCATAAGGTTAGCAGTGTGGTTAAGGTTAGGTTTAAAATCCAATTTTAAGAAGATACATTTTAGAAATAGGCTGGGTTTATGACTTTGTGGCTGTGGTAACTAGTGACGACCGTTCACTAGCAAGTAGTCAGATCCAAAATCACACACACTTGGCCCTGTTACCACGGTAAACTCCCACCTTTAAAAAGGGGCAGCTTTTGACTCAGGTCACAAAAAATTGAATGAAATTGAGCAATAAACCACATTACTTCTTACTAATGTTTGATTAGATAATACATTTCTTGTTTTAGAAACATTACAAAGCATGGTCATACATTATTTTGGGGTGGTTTTGGCTGGTAAAAAATCTGAGTGTCTGGTCGACTTTTTGTTAAATCTACTAACCTGCCACTGTGGCTGGTGGACCAAAAAGTTAATTTTAGGCCCTGGTGCACATGATTACCACAAGGCCCTCAGCCTTGGGTGGGATGCAGGCTATAGCCCTTCTCATCCACACATAATTTACAAATGCAAACAACCCGTCTCTAGGTAAATGGAGGGCTTTTAAAACACTGTGGGGGCCAGGGCCAGACGTATAATC